TTGATGAGAGAAAGATTCTGAAGTCTGCACGTTGCCTGGTTGGGTGTGTGGGGAGGTAGTCTACCGCGCCCAGGAGCTGCAACCCACGAGGGCGAATGGGGAGCCCCTGTGGAAGACGCCGGGCGAAAGCGAACTCTTCAGGGCTGGAGCTCAGGTATGTCTGGGCCGCTGCAGATGCGCAAAACCGCGCAGCCGAGGAAGCGTGACGGTGAAAAGTGGCTGTACTTCGGCACAGCTCCTCGGCGCATCTCGGAAGTCTTTCTGTTCCACAGGGTCGGGCCCCGATGCCTTCGCAAGAGGCCCCCGAAGCTTCCCCGGACCCTGTCGGAGGCGACGGGGGGCCTCGGGCCCAGGATGGAAAGTGGCGCATCGGCGACGAGGACGAATTCGACAAGAACTTCAACTGTTCGACGGGCCCCTCGGAGTCTTTTTGTGGGTTGACATGGCAGTGCGCGGCCTCCACGGATTGTACAAGTTCGAGTTCTTACCAGCAAAACCTGCCAGGCTACATTCGACAAAGTGGTTCAACTGCAGATCTGCCCCACACCCTGCGCTCCCTGTGGCAGTGTTTCGCTAAGGCCTCGGCAGCGCTTCATAGGAAAGGCATTCAGGGGAGAGTTGATTGCGCTTCGGCTGTTCGGGGATCTGGACCCAAGTGGGGTGAAGGGTGCAGCTTCGAATTTTGGGTTTGTGACGGAGATCAAGGTTACAACTGCTTGCAGGAAGCCCTTGCCGCGTGCAGTCCGAGCCAAGGTCCTGGTGCAAACCGTAAAGACTCACAGTGGAAAATTGGCGAAAGCGGTCAGGGGGTGTTGTAATCATGCTCATGCTGCGGACGGCCTTCCTCTCTTGAAGTAGAACCTTCTTCATATCGGTTCGGCTCGGATCCCCAGCCTCCCTGAAACTAGCTGGCTTTGCTTTTCAAATCAGCCTTGCTTCACGCGAAGGGCGGCTGCTCTGACGATCCCGCCATCACGGTGGAGGATGCGACCGCCGAGGCCAGGGGTGCTTGCACTTGCGGCGGC